TTCATTCCTTCAGTACACATTCACTGAGCACCCGCCATGTCCCAAATGCTGGCAACGCCAGCACTGGAAGACACAGCTCCTTCCCTCGTGGCACTTCAGCCTCCCCTCAGCGAGCACATTTTCTTCGCAGCCTGCCTCAGTGAATGGCAATAGCACTCAGCCAGACTTTTAACAACAGGAAGCAGGAGGCCACCTGTGTCTCTCAAAACTCTCCCTTCTCCATAGGCAATCAGGCAACAATATTTTTTTAATTTATTTACTTGTTGAGAGAGAGAGCACACAAGCAGGGGGAGCTGCAGGCAGAGGGAGAAGCAGGCTCCCCGCTGAGCAGGGAGCCGGATGTGGGACTCCATCCCAGGACCCTGGGATCATGACCTGAGCCGAAGGCAGACGCGTCACTCACTGAGCCACCCAGGCGTCCCAAGCAACAGTATTTTTGAAAGAATCCAGAGCACTTGCCTTGTAGAATGTTCCAGAGTCTAGATTTTCCTGATACCTTCCTCATTAGATTCAGCTTAAGTGCTTTGAGAAGTTGCTATGTCCTTTCCCCTCCCCGCTCCAACAGCTTCAAGAGGCATTGGGGTCAGGCTGTCCCACTGTTGGGGAGGCTCAGTTTGGTCACATGGTCAAGGTCGTGTCTGACATGCCTCACAAAGTTGCATCTTCCTTTCCTAAAGCACAAGTAGTCTGGGGTAATACCTTGCGACCATGTGACTATCTTATTCCGCAACAACCTCTGTCTGCTGGTTTTACCATACAAGTAGGATCCTTGCCTGAATGAATTGCACTGATGGCTTCACAATGGTGGTTTGCTGATACTTGCTTGCTGTCTACAATTATCAGTTGGCAGCATTTCTCTTGAAAGAGCTTTCCTTTTTCCCTGCTCTCTTTTCTTGATTATCATGGTAGATGCATCGGGGTTTTCTTATTCAATGACTTAGAATCCAAGAATATTGTTTTGGGGGGTAATTTTTATTGGACTATAGCATGCATACAGTAACATGCATTATTCATCAGTGTACAGCTCAATGGATTCTTAAACTAAATACACCCATGTATCTGTCCCCTCAATATCAAAATCTAGTACATTGCCAGCACTCCAGCACCACCCTTGGTGCTCCCTTCCCAGTCATACTCCTCTCCGAAAGGTTTAATACCCTTTCAGATGATCACATTGTTCTAGCTTGTTCTTTCTGCTTGGCTCCCGTGTCCCTTGGCCATGCCTCGTCCTTTTGTGTTTCAAGCACTTACTTACTTTTTGGCACTACAAAGTGCACCAGGCTTATCTTGTATTTTTTTCCTGCCCCAGCTCTAGAAGCAGCCATTTCTCCAAGAAGCTCTGGCTCCTTTTAGCGGAGAATGGTATTGAGAAACCAAGGTTTGGTTGTAAGGTGTGTTCATTGCTACTGGAATGTCATTGCTTCTAGGCTCTTCTACCAGACAAAACCAGGAAAACGTATTATTGAAGTTCATACTGCAGTCCTCAATTCCAATCCAACATCACAGTTCTTTCCCACCTTCCCTCATGCAACAGTGAGAATTCTGGTTCCTGACAACATCAATATATTTATTCATTTGATCCACCGGGTAGTCTATCTTGAAGTACACCCAAAATGGCTTCACTGTAATCTCATCATTACCATTGCTGAGAGCAAACATACTAAGAATAAGGTCAGTTCTTTTGTCCTTAGAATATATCCTGTGCAGGGATATACAAGCAGAAAAGTGATTTAAAAGTCACCTAGGGGCCCCTGGGAGGCTCAGTCGGTTAAGCGACTGCCTTCGGCTCAGGTCATGATCCCAGGGTCCTGGGATTGAGTCCCGCATCGGGCTCCCTGCTCAGCGGGGAGCCCGCTTCTCCCTCTCCCGCTCCCCCCTGTTGTGCTCTCTCTCTCTCACTGCTCTCTCTCTCATTCTCTCTCTCCCTCAAATAAATAAATAAAATCTTTAAAAAAAAAAAAAGTCACCTGAATTATTTTCTCTGTGTGGCTTTGTTATAATTTGGATATGCAGTTAGGCTCATTTGTTTTGTTTGTTTTCATTTGTTTTTGGTTTTACATTTGATTTTTTTAAATTTCCCAAATGTACTTTTTGTTCAAAGTCAAAACGACACAAAATGGTATGATCCAAGAAATCCCACACCATCTCGCCTCCCGGTAGGTGACTATTTTCAGTTTCAGGTTTCTCCTTCCTTTTTTTTTTTCTAATAAGCAGGTGTGTCTGTGAGAGAGAGTGTGTGTGTGTCCTTTGCACTCTGCTTTTTTTTTCCCCACAACAATATATCCTGGAAATCATTTCATTTTTCACTAGGGATTTTCCTTTTTTTTACTGCTGCTCAGGACTATTGTATGAATGTACCATAGTCGATTTCACCAGTTCCCTGCTGATGGGCATGTATATGGTGTCCAGTAGTTTTCTAGGACCAATTATCTTACAGTGAGTGATTTTGTGCATATGTTGTTCCATATTTGTGAATTAACTGCCTATATGTGGGATTGCTGGGTCCAGACAGTGATGACTTTTGTACTTAATACTCTCTTTCGTTAAACAAGCAGCAAACCTTGTACTCCAGAAACTGCACTGATGGGGGTGCCTGGGTGGCTCAGTCGGTCAAGCATCTGACTCGATATTCTTCATTTCCGCTCCAATCATGATCTCAGTGTCTCGACATCCAGCCCCGTGTTGGGCTCCCTGCTCAGTAGGGAGTCTGCTTCTCTCTCTCTCCCTCTGCGCCTCCCCCTGCTCATGGCCTCTCTAAAATAAATAAATAAATCTTTAAAAAGAAACTGCACAGAACCAAAAAAAAAAAAAAAAAAGGTACCAGAGAGATTTACGAACGATATAAAAGTAAAGAAAACAAGATTGTCATTTCGGATTATGATAAATGCAATGCAGTAGACTGAAATGGGCAAATGTGATGAATGGTGCCTGGGAAGAGTATGTTCGATTGGTGGCCCAGAAGGCCCTTCAAAGGTGACACTGGAGCCAAGATCCTAATGACAAGGAGGAGCCAACCATGGGAAGGTTTGTGGACAGTCTTCCAAATAGAAAAATAAATGCAAAGGGGTAGGGGCAGGCCACCCTTGGTCAGGAACAAAGAGAAGGCCCCACAGGCTATACAGAGAATGCAGGAGCAGACAGGTGAGGGTATGGATGGATGAGCTGGGAGCTCAGGTCACACAGAGTTGAGGTTTTTTGAAGATTTATTTATTCATTTTTGAGAGGGGGGAGGGGCAGAGAGAGAGAGAGACAATCAGAGAATCTCAAGCAGACTTCCTGCTGAGCATGGAGCCCAATGCTGTGCTAGATCTCATGGCCCTGAGATCATGACCTGAGCTGAAACCGAGAGTTGGCCGCCTAACCAATTGAGCCACCCAGGCGCCCCCACACAGAGTTTTTATAAGCTACGTCAAGGAGTTTAGATACGATTCCAAGGGCAATGGAAAATCATTTTAGGATTTTAAACAGGGATGCAATGTGATGTGACTTATTTTTAAAAATTAAGAGGTAATTCTGTTGTGTGGAGAACAGGCTGTAGAGGAGCAAGTATAGTAGAAAACCAGTCAGGAAGCTGTTGAAGGAGTTGGAACAGATGGTGGCTTCCACTCGGGACTAGCAATGGAGAGGGAGGGACGTGGTCTGACAGGGTCTGTTTTGAGGGGAGATCCTGCAGGATTTGATGATACAGTTCAGTTTTATGTCATTCCCTATGATTACCAAAGGAGGAACACAGAAAACTAACACAACATTCCACAGTGGAATTTCATGTCACATTAAAAACACCTTTTCGATTATGGGGGTGCCCGGCCGGGCACCGGACTCTTGGTCTGGGGGACATGAGTTTTTTGCCCCACGTCGGGTGTAGAGACTACTTAAAAAAAATAAAAGAGGGCGCCTGGGTGGCTCAGTCGTTAAGCGTCTGCCTCCGGCTCAGGTCATGATCCCCGGGTCCTGGGATCGAGCCCCACATCGGGCTCCCTGCTCAGCGGGGAGCCTGCTTCTCCCTCTCCTTCTGCTTGTGTTCCCTCTCTCGCTGTCTCTCTCTCTCTAATAAATAAATAAAATCTTTAAACAAAAATAAAAATAAAAGAGAAAATGAAAAGAAAGAAATGTCATGTAAGATCACTCTCGGCCTTTTGGCGGGGAAGAAAAACCCCAAAGGAACTCGAAATCCCCCACAATGCCACCACACGGAGATAATGGGTATTTACAGTTGGGGGTATTGTCTCAGGCTTTCTGTGCATCTATCTATACCGTAGTTTACTAAGTGATTTCCGCTTTGCATTCTGGTTTCGCCCCTAGGACATGACTCCTGTTTTCCACGGCCACTACTTGAGTTCCAGGGGCGACCACATCTCTCCTCGCCTCCGCGCGGCTCTGCCCGCTGGCAGGCTTGCCCTCCCACAGGAGCCACTTAGTGATCTTTCCAAAACGCAGATCTGATCCGCTCATCTCAGGGGTCGCCCCCTCTGAAGGCCCACTTTGGGTTCCCCACCTGTACCGGTGATGGGGGCGGGGGGCGGCCCGGTGTCCCTCGTGGGCTCCCTCCCATCTCCCATCCACGAATCGCGCCAAAAGGACGTCGAGCCGCATGTCGTGGGGACATTGAACCCGAGGAAGAGACGGGGCGGGCAACAGGCCACGAGTCTGGTGGCCTCACACGAGGTCTTGGACAGGCGTGGGGGGTGGGGCGGGGGTCGAGCTGAGGCACAACGGGTTTGTGGAGGTGCGACGGGGTTACATGTCACTCTACGGCGCAATGTTTCGCGAAGGAGCGCTCACTGGCCACGCAGCCATGAGGAGTCTCCCGGAAGCCGGGGCCGCAGGGTCGACTTGGTACAACCGAGCATGCTCCCGGCAGCCTCCCAAGGGAAGGGTCGTTTTGCGCAGGCGCCCTGGGAATCACACCGAGTTCGGAGGGGCGGAACTTCGTGGAGAGCGCTCATTGGCTAGGCAGCCATGGGGCGGGGCCTCCAGGAGCTCAAGGCAGAGCTGTCTGGGGGAGAGAGGGACTGCTCAGGGGCCCTGCAGAATCACTGGGGAGGGGACGATGGGGGAATGTCGCGGGCGCTCCGGGGAGCCCGAGTTGCACTGCGTGCGAAGGCGCTGAGCTTTGTGAGGAAGCGCTCATTGGCTAGGCAGCCAGGGGGTCTCCCAGGGCCCAAGGGCGGAAAGGCCGACTGGGCAGGAAGCGACCACATGCCTGGCGGCCTCACTAGGAGCCCGTTTGCGCAGGAGCCCTGGGGTCGCATCGGAGACCGGGGTTCCCGGGAGGCGGGGCGAGGCGGCCATGCTGGCGGCGGGAGCCGACGCAGGCGCAGGCGGCGGGGCGGGAGGTGCGGACCACGGCCGGGACGGCGGGGCCTGCCATGGTGGCCGCGGCTGCCCCCGCCTTCCCGGCGGCGCGGGGACGGTGGCGGCTGCTGCCTTCTGCAGGGCCCGGCCTGGCTCGCGCCCACGGCACGTCCCGGGGCCAGGCGGAGACGCTGCTTCCACGACTCTAAGGCTGGAAAGCCGAATACACGTATTGTATCCTACCCGAACGGACAGCGGGGGGGTGGGGGGCCTGGGCCGGGGGCTGGCTGTGGGCGCCAGGGCCTGCAGAGGGGCGGAAGGGTCGGGGCAGCCTGGGGGCGGAGAGGGAGAGGGCCAGCGGTAACCGGGGGCGGCTGGGGGTGTCCGGCCCGGGGCTGGTGTGGAGGGAAAGAAACAAGCACAGAGGGGAGCCGGGGGTGCCGGGGGAGGGAGGCGCGGCAAAGAGATGCGAGCAGGGTGCGGACGGGGTGGCCTCAGAGGGCTGGGTCGGGGGAGGAAGGAGGGAGAGCAGGGGCATGACCCGGGGGCGGGGGGCGGGGGGCGGGTATGGGCCAGGCTTGGCGTCACGGGGCGGGGGAACGGGGAGGTTAAGAAATGAGAGCGGGGCTTAGGTCTCGGGGTGAGTGGGCGTGACTACGGCCGGGAGGGGGTGGGAGCTGTCCCGAAGCGGACGGAGCCAGTCAGGGTGGCCTGGGAAGGGGGGCCCAGGCACAAAGCCGTTTGGATGGTGCCTTAAGCGAATTTCCTCCAGTGCCCTCTGCGTGCCTTTCCCGTCCAGCTTGGAGGCGGAGATCGCCTATCGGTCCCTGACCCCAGATGCCGAACCCCACAGAGGGGCTGTTGAGAAGCAGCTCACAGTGAGTTGCAGCGTCGTGGCCGTGTAAGTTCTGGAAGGGGCCGGGTGGGAGTGGCAGCAGGTGGCAGGACCGGTCTCCACTCTGCTGGGCGCTCTGCTGGACACACACAGATCCTCCATAAAGGGTTACTTCCAGGGATGGGACGGGGCGGGGTGCAGGGGTTGCAGTCTCGTCCTGCAGCCTGGACTGGGGTACAGGGAGGGGGGCATTCATGGGGATGTCAGGGTTCATGTACTGGATTTGGGGGGGACGGCAGAGCAAGGAAGGGGAGAAGCGTCCACCTCCAGTTTGGTTGTCTTTTCTGCTCCCTTTCAGCCGCTGGAGAGGTGAAGATCCTCGCCTCCTCCGAATTTCCATCATCAGCTTTCTTGACCAGCTTTCCCTGGTGATGCAGACCATGCGGCGCTTTGGGCCCCCCGTTTCCCGCTAAGCCTGGGCTGGGGAGAGGGGGCTAAGGCCTAACCTCTTGTCCCTTCCCAAGGCACTGTGTCCTTCCCTGGGGCAGTGATCCCTGTAGCAGTAGCGGCAACGGTGTTGGGGGGGGGCTAATCTTCTGGTGTCAGGGGGACCTGATCTGGTGTTAGGAAGGCCTGATCTTCTGCCACTGCTGGCCCTAGGGCACTCAGGGTCCATTTGTTTTGTTTGCTGTTTTAATGTTTGTTACTGCAGAAAATAAAACTGAGCTTTGCTATTCCGTGTCTAAGTTTCTTTTCCACTGTGGCACCACCTCCGGATAGTCTTCCCATTGTCCTCAGGTGGCAGAGGAGGTTCTGGGATGCGGGTACTTGAGGAGGGAAAGGTGACTGAAGACGGGTTAGGAAATGGAAGAACGCAGGTTCTGTCCTTCACTATCAGCGTGCCCCTCTCTGGCAAATTTTTTTAAAACTTAGTCTGGGGGCGCCTGGGTGGCTCAGTCGGTTAAGCATCTGCCTTCAGCTCGGGTCATGATCCCGGGGTCCTGGGATCGAGTCCCATCTCAGGCTCCCTGCTCAGTGGGGAGTCTGCTTCTCCCTCTGCCTCTGCCCCTGCCCCTTCCCCCTCCCCCCTGCTCATGCTCTCTCTCATGCTCTCTTTCAAATAAATAAAATCTGTAAGAAAAAAAAAATAGTTTGCATGAGAAGAGCAAGCAAGCCAGAAACACTAGAATCAGAGCTTTGTGCCTGACGGGGCTTAGTTCAGTGAAGTAGAGTGCTGGACAATTGCCTGAGCTTTTTGGTGGAAGGATGTGCTCTCTGTGAAATAGTCTGTGTCTTGCAGACTTGCCAAGCCCAGGAAATCTGGCAGCTCTTTGGTGGATGTCGTGGAATTTTCTCCATAGGTGATCAGGTTTCCTCAGGATAAAGGCAGTTTTACGTCTTCTTTTCCAATCTGGGTACCTTTTAGTGAGGAATTTCTCTCCTGATTGTAGGTTGGACTTTCCCTGCCTCTCTGCATGCTTGGTAATTCTAAAGTGGATGCCAAACATGATTTTCCTTGGGTTCTGGATATCTTTGTATTCCTAGACAGATTTATGAGCTTTATTCTGCGATGCTGTTAAGTGACCTGGAACAGTTTGATCCTCTTGAGTCTTACTTTGAAGATTTCTTCCATGCACCAGAACAGCTCAGTGTCGGAGTTGTTTCTCCCCCAACGCTACTGCGGCAAGACCCTTCTGCGTGGACTGCCTGATGCCTCCCGAATTGTGAGGTTTGCCCTCCTGGGCAGTGGGGACAGCTGCTAGTCCCTGTCCTGCTTGAGCGCCGGACGAAGTTACCTTTCATTCGTCAGATGGTCCTTACCCCAGCCTCGGGTAGTTCCTCACATGCTTGTGCTGATCAGTGGTCTGCAGCTTACTCCAGGGGGACCCTTTGGGGATGTGCAGGCTTCTCTCCCTCCACTGTGCCCCAGGCCCTCTACCCTGCCAACTCTGGGCCCTCGGACTTTCCATTCCGTTTCCTAAACTGGGGGTGTCCATTGGGGTCCACCAGGAAACTCCCTCTCCGGACAATTGCTGGGTTCATCTCTGATTTCTCCTCTCCCAGACATCACTGTACTTCATGCACGATACCTGCTTTCTCTTTTTTTTTTTTTTTTTAAAGATTGTATTTACTTATTTGCCAGAGACGGACGGGGGCAGAACACAAGCAGGGGGAGTGACAGGCAGAGGGAGAAGCAGGCTCCCCGTGGAGCAGGGAGCCTGATGCAGGGCTCGATCCCAGGACCCTGGGATCATGACCTGAGCCGAAGGCGGACGCTTAACAACTGAGCCACCCAGGCGCCTCCGATACCTGCTTTCTTTACAGTGTGTGTTTCATCTATTCTGTCTGGTTTGGGGGGTTCTTTCAAGTAAGTGGTAGGGTAAATCCGTTCCCTGTTACTCCATATGCATGAGCAGAAAGTCTGCCATTGCAGCACGTGGAGACTGCTCATGGTGTGCGCTGTGGGGAGAGAGATGCTGTCACTGGGGATGGTGGTGGCGGTCGTGATGACGATGACAATGAAGACTCGCCTGAGAGGCAGCAGCTGTAGTGGCTACAGCAAGGGTCTATTTCTTCCTTTTTAAAAATCACTTTTTTAAAAGATTTTATTTATTTATTTTAGAGAAAGAGAATGCACGCACAAGTAGTGAGGAGCAAAGCGAGAGGGAGAATCTCAAGCCGACTGTGCACTGGTCACAGGGCCCGACGGGCTTCATCTCTGGATCCGGAGAGCAAACCCGAGCCGAAACCAAGCATCGGACGCTCAACTGACTGAGCCACCCAGGCGCCCCTTAAAAATCATTTTCAAGACTTTTTTGACTGATAGATGAGACTTTCGCTCTTTTACACCCCTATCCACTTTGCTTCCCCTCTTCATTCTCCCAAAATGGTTCTAGTCTGTTCACTTGGGGTTTCTTTTTCCCCCAAGGTTAAAAATTGCAGTGTTTAGTCTTTCGTTGGCTTAGTTTCTGTAACCTCCCAATGGTAATGTTCTAAAACCATCGTCCTCGGCCTCCGCTCCCTCCCCCCCCTGCCTGCACAGCGGCCATCCCCGCACTTCACTTTGTCTGGGCTTGAAGCCTTATCCTGGATCTAGCAGCTTTCTCTTTCCTCTTTACCTCTCCTTTTTACTTGTGTTTGAAGTCAGGTTTAGGGCCGCCTGGGTGGCTCAGATGGTTAAGCGTCTGCCTTCGGCTCAGGTCATGACCCCAGGGTCCTGGGATCGAGCCCCGCGTCGGGCTCCCTGCTCCGCAGAGAGCCTGCTTCTCCCTCTCCCTCTGCTGCTCCCCCTGCTTGTGTTCCCTCTCTCGCTCTCTCTGTGAAGTCGGGTTTAGTGAGGTCTAATTTCCATGCTGTAAACCTCCTCCTTTTTAGGTGTACAGGTCTAGGAGTTTTGACAAATGCATAGTTTTGTAACCACCACCACAGTCCACCGCCTTGGCCCCACAGCGGGACTGCTGAAGCTGCTGGGTGGCGCTAACACCCAAGTCAGGTCACAAAACCCCTCTATCCCAAACCCTCCCTGGGCTCCCCTCTCACTCAGAGACAAAGACAGAGCCCTTTACAGGGGCCTACAAAATCGGATGTGACTCGGGCACCCCCGCTCACCCCACTATCTTCTCTGGCCTCCTCCCCTCTCCTCTCTGCCTTGCTCCTTCTGATCCAGCCGCCCTGGCCTCCTCCCCTCTCTGAAACAGGCCAGGCCCACACCTGCCTCAGGGCCCTTGCACTGGCTCTTTCCGGTCTGGAACTCTCTCCCCCCCCCAGCGTTCCAGCTGGTTCACTCAAATATCATTCCTGGCCACTCTGTGAAATTGCATCCCACAGCCTCCCCACCTGCTTCCCTGTTGGCCGACCACCCACCTGCCCCAAGGACAAAGCCACACCCCGCCTCCACTTTCCCAACATTTAATGAGAAAAAAAAGACGTCATCATCAACAACAACAACAAAAAGCTCATGCCCAAGAAGGGGAGAGACTTGGGTTTTCGGGACCCCGAGGCGGAGCCAGATCCCTCAGAGGAGGAAGAAGAAGAACCAAGGAGTAAGGCACGGCCGCCTCGCCGCCTCGGCCACGCCACTCGGGGCAGGCGCAGGGCAGCGCAGCTGAGGGGCGAGGGGTCCGGGGCCAAGTGCAGACAACACTGAGGAAGTTTGGCAGTAGGGCCGGGAGAAGGAGAGTTCCAGGGTCCCCAGGCCCAGCTCAGGCCCCGGCCCAAGCCTGGCTATAGGCGTCCAGGTGCTCAGGCCAGGACCCTGGGAGAAGGTACAGTCCGACTCCCCAGACGGTCGGAGGGGATGCCGAGGCCCAGCTGCGGGGAGACCCCTGGGCGCAGCCACAGTCCGAGGGCAGTTTCAGGGGTGTCGCCCTCCCTCCACTCCTCCCCCCCACCCCCAAGTGCTGCTGGTGCCGACACCCGCCTGCTGGGAAGCGGCGGGGCCAGCCATGGCGAGGGGGGGCGGGGGGCGGTGTGTCAGAGGCTAGGCCAAGGCTGCCGGTGTCACAGAGGAGCCAGGAGGACTCAAGGAGAGAAGGTGCGCGAGGTCGACAGCATCCCGGAGAAGGGACACACAGTTACAGATGGAGATGGCGAGGTGGAGAGAAATTAAATAAATAGGTGCTCGGGGGTATAAATAGCAAGGAGGGCAGGGGCTGCCACCACGCCTGGGCGGGGGGGGCGGGGGGGGGGGGGGGGGGGGGGGGGGGGGGCAGGGGGCAGGGGGCAGGAGGGAGGGCAGGAGGGCAGGGGTATTGCTGCTGCCGGGGCCAGGGGCTTGGTCCTGTCACCTCTGGCCCAACGCAGGGCCCAGAGGAAGGCACTAATGAAGGGGCCCAGGTGTGCCGGGGGCATATCGGCCCGGTGACCCCCCCCCCCGGCCCCCGCTCCCCTGCCCCCCGGATCCGGGGCTCAGCCCAGAGGACAGCTCAGGACTGAGACGCCCCCCCACCCCCTCCTCACCGGTTCCGCCACCCTTAGGGGTTGCTGGACACGAGGCTGATGATCTGTTCCAGTTTCTGTCGCAACTTATGCTTCCGACAAGAGGCATCTCGCTCCAGGGCACCGAGAACCTGGGGGAGGAGGGTCCCCCCCGGAGCTGGGCCCTCCAGGCAAAGCCCCCCTCCTCAGCTTGAGCTCTTCCCTCCCTCGCGCCTCAGCGCACCCCTTCCTCTCTGGCCGCCCCCCCACCCCCGGGCACGTGCGGGGAGGAGCCGCAAACCCTCCCCTGGGAACGGGGGGGGGGGGCGGGGGGGCAGCCTCTCCTCCACCCTGAACCCCTCCCGCTGCAGAACTTCACTCCCTCCTCTCCGGGGCCAGAGGGAAGCCCCTCCCGAGAGCGGCCCGGACTGGCTGTCCCCGAGTTCCCCATCCCCTCTGAACCCCCGCCACCCGCACCCACCCCGAACCCCTCTCGTGCGGGTCTCCAGGAGCTCGTTGCCAAGCACGGCGAGCCTGCTGGGACCTGCCCTCCCTTGACCGTTGACCGTCAGCAGCCCCCGGCGGAGCGCATCACTCCCTCCTCCCTGACCACCCCTCCCCGGGTGTGTGCGCGCGCGTGTGCACGGCTCATTCCCGTACCAGGAGGTCACGCTGCACCTGCACTCTTGGGGTTCCCTCCCAGACCCCTGGCCGCCCCTCCTCAGTCTCCGCTGCCGGCTCCCTCTCTTCTCTGCCACCTCCGAGTGTCCCAGGGCCCCCACAGGGCTCGGTGCGTGGGCCGCCGCTCTCGGCCGCC